GTTTTATTATTTTTTTAAACTTTAGAATCTATCTTATAAAAATATTTTAAATTATTTTAAAAATATCAAATCTTGAGCAAAGATAAAGTATAGTAACTGGTATATTAATTATTATTTTTTATATTCTTTTATATTTTAATAGTAGTTATATAAATCACAATATATGTATTTATCAATTAACCCTTTTTATCAAATTAATTTATGTAATTTCAATAATCTCATTCTCATTTGGTTTGCGATATCGACTTGATTTGATATTTAAATAAATTTCTTATAGTGAACTGCCATTTACTGTATTTGTTAAATATCATTTTATTATTTTATTAGACATTCAGATAACCAATGTATTGATTGATGTTAAAAGTAATTAATAATTTATAAATATTTGTATCAAATTATTAAACTGTATTTTAATTAATAGGTGAAATTCAAATAAAAAGATTTATTCCATTCAAGAAAAAAGTCAACACCTCAGTTCGGCGTTCTTGCGGCGGATTAGCTATCATCCAATCGGAATTGACTTGTCGGAGATGCCACAAATTTAAAAGGTACGAAGCGTAGACTCTACTGACGATTATGGATTTCTCGGACACGGTGAGAGAACTTTTGAGTGCCAAAGCACGGGAATCCGGCGATGATTCGTCTTGGGCGGTTTTGTGCGGTGGTTTGTTGCAAGAGGAAAGCCATGTAATAATACACGAGATGCAAGAATAATTATCTTGAGTTCATAATCATAGAAAATCATTTAACATTACCAAAATCGTTATTTTTGTAATCAGAATTTGTCAACTCTGGATGAATTGTCGCTTCACTTGTATCAATGCATACAGTCTTGTGTAAGTTCAAAAGTGCCAAAGGACTCGCGGTTTGACAAGGGAATTTTGGAACGACCCTTTTATCTGGCATTGGTCGAAATGTTAAAAACATGTTTTGAAAATGGCGGAGAATTTCCACAGAGCGTAAAACAGAGTAAATTATTTCTGCTCGAAAACACCAACCTGCAGAGGTAGCGTTTACACATTGATTAACCGAGTGCAATCGAATCAATTTACATAAATATTGGAATGCGCATGTAATTGTCATTCACAAAGTCTAGATTGAAAGAAATCGAAGAAGAGATGAAGCGAATTTTAGACTTATGGAACGTCTTTCCTAACGTTTTTGACCATTGGCATAAAGATACGCTTGATGATTATCTCTTTAAGGTTAATATTTGGATTAATCGTCGGTCTGTTCGAATCCTTAATGTGTAAATAACATCTTGTGGTTAGTTTCTGACGCCCAGAGACCTTAACACGTTTTTGGGGCTTCGAACAACCACGGGATCAGCTACGGATCTCCCGCCGTCATTGATCGAATGCATCGACTCTTTCACTCGTCGTCACGTTAAACGAGTTCGACCAAATATTGTCAATACTCTTACTGTTGGCGCCAAGGCTTTCTCTAAACATTCCCATAGAGATGTGTCCAACTCTTTTTGGGGAGTTTGCACTGGATGTGAGTCTGATTCCCAGTCATTATTGTCGAGTGTTTTCTTCAATCACCTTCCTTACCATAGACAAACTTGTGAATCTGTGAATTTAATAGCTGAAAAACAGAAAAATGAGCAAGCCAATCAAATATTGGCTAAAGTTATAACAGATGCGGCATGGATTAATCTACATTCACTTCCGGTATGGGGAAATTCATTTAGAGATTGACAACCAAGTTCATTACTTGAAGCAAATTTTTTTTTGTTTTAGCATGAAACACGGGTTTTTGAGGTGCGTAATTCCAGAGGGTACGGCGCACGTTGGGAAATTCAACCATCTCAGTCACAATCGGAAGGGGATAGTGGCATTGAAAATTCTCCCTCAGAAGATCAAAGGAATCGTAACAGAACGATAGTGTTTCGTGGTTTCTTAGAACCCCAAATGGAAGATGGTCATGAGAAAGGGTGGATTCATTGAATATATAATAAAGCAATTTATCGGGCATACCGGTTGATAATAAAATTTCAACTTTCAACCGTTACATAATTAATAAGTTACATACTGCAACAAGATTTTTTTTTCCTTTGGAGATATTTATTTAATCATCCTCGAAAATATAATCAAATGCCATTCGCATTTTCACTAGTGACATTTGATGTCTTCTTCCGTGCTCTGAACCATGGTGGGAATTTACCATCCCACTTTTCATCAATCTCTTTTTTCCATTTGGCATTTGATTTATGCCACTTACTTTTCAGGTGCTGGTTCCAGCTGTAAAGCCCGTTTATTATCACTGGCGAATTATCATTGAATAAGCTGCAAAGATCGCATTGATACTTGGTCCATGTGGTTAGACTTCCGAATGTACTATATTAAGGTGGAAAATTCGGTCAGATGGGAACGAAAGTACAAAAATGGCATAAAATGTTATTCGGATAGTACTCGGTGTCTCTTGTTGGCTTTAAAAGTTCTGCAAATTCGGGATTTATCGAACTTGGGTCCGGGCCATTTCCAGTTTTCATGTATTCTAAAGACAGTTGAAAAAACGCATTCTTTTTGAAAACCGAGGATATATTATAAGCTAACAATGCGATCGGTTGATCATACCTTCAACGATAGAGATAGCCTTGTCACGAACATCATGACCCCATGTTTCAAGCGCTTTATTTTAGTGAAGAAAAGTTATGGTTGATAGACGGAATGTAATCAATCTTATTAAAAGGAAAAAGGATACATGTTGCATTTAACAAGTATACTTTAATACAATCGGCATCGGTCCCGTTCGCATTTTCCTGAATAGTTTGTTGATATTTAAGCAATAATCTATTCCTAATCCATCGTATTTGATGTCTGGCGTATCTGCGCGTGACAATCTTCATTCTCTCGATGCCGGAGGCTCTTAAAGAATCTAATTTTATTTGCGTTTTAAAAATACAATGTGATGGTAATGATAACTTTGTGAACATTTCTAACCATTAAGATTATCCGAATCTGAACTTGATGTCTCTTCCAAAGCCTTTAAGTAAGGTTCAAATTCTTTGTATCCTGGCAAATGAAAATGATCATTTCAATTCACGCGCTCATGTATTCTTCTCTACCATTATTATTACCAATGGCTTGCCAGATTCCCCGTGTGAACTCGGTATCTTGATCCAACGGTACTCGTATTTTTCCATTCTTGACTTCATTTCTCAGATAATTTATCTCGTCAAAAAGACCTCTCTTAATTATTAAACGTGGAACATATGATTTTCGATTTGAAATGAGCTTGATTGCACACGAACAAGTGGTTTTACCTCAATCATCTTGTCCACCCTTGCATCTAATCTTTTATCAAGAACTCCGGGATCAGCATATAACCAGAAAATACAGGTAAGAGGAAACCTACCAGAAAAATTGGTTAATTGGGAATTAAATTTAGGGCAAAGGACAGAAGGGTCCCTGGAATTAGATCAAAACCTTAATGAAGAAGCCTTTTCTCCTGGTTGATGTTGTTCCTTGATCCATTCACTATGAGGTTTTCCGGTTTGCAAATATATCTGGTATGAAGGCGAGTTAAATATTTTTGCAACATCGAGATTCTAAGGCGTTCAAAATGTCTGTGATCTTCACCGAACCTGCAGACTCCTGCGGATCTTTCTTCGATCATTCCAATGCCACCTGTTAGCCATCACCGGATCAACTTCCTGGAGGCGTTTGTAAAGAACATCTGTTTCGACATCAAGAACTTCTTTGAATTCTAATGCGTCATCGGAATCACTTTCGTCACAAATGGACCCATTGCCAATCAGGGAATTTTTCCAGAGTAAAGATTGTATATAATAATGAGTTCCCCCAACAATGATTGGAATTTTGTCGCGTTTATGAATTTCTTTTATCTTTGGGTTTTTTTTGTTTTTATTATAAATTTGTGAATGCAAATTTTCAAACTGAACAATACAAAGTTCTTTGATAAAATAAGGATTTCGATCATACAATTTTTAATGCGTCTTTGGTGAACTCCGTGACGCGATATTCAAGATGTGGCTCAAGAAAATTTATGAGGTGATGTGGTACCCCTTCTCGTTCACTCATCGGTGTTTTATTGGTTATGATGTCCAACCCCTTGTAAACCTATTATAGATCATTATCCAAGAATAGATATTTCTTTATTTGATGTTATCTTAACGAAGAGCATTTCTCTACAGCTCAAATGACAGGATTTCGGCACACGCGTATTTCAATCGTCATTGCCAATAGTTATGCTCAAGTAAATTTAGAACGCGTCGAAAAAAAGCAAAATCACCAAGCTCGGCTAGAGAGTTGAAATGCGTCAAGAGGATACAAAACCTGCATGGAATCCCCATTAATGATTTCTCCCCCCAAGGTTTTTGCCAGTTGAATTCCTAAATCGGACTTTCCCACTCCCGTCGTACCCACGATTGCTATCACGCCTTTGGGCATGCTTTGGGTAAATGTTGAACAACCTCGTATAAAAGTGCGCAACGAAATGAACATGTAAGTGCGACGAGGGTGCGACGGTCAATGGTCAAACTTTCTATTTTCGAATTTAGTCACATGATTTCCACTTTAAAAAATGGATTTATTTTTAAATGATGTTTCTCCCCCAAACTGTCAATTAAAAAGTCGGAAAGAGTCAGACCCTAATAATGTACAGTCCTTACATTCTAAACGATTCGAGCAAAGAGCCAAGTACAAAGGTTGGTGCTTAACATTCGGTAGTGACAAAGGGTTCTTTTGGTTATGTCTTTTCTGTAGCAACCTGCAATGTGTTTTCACGTTTGAGTGGGTGAATTTTTACAAGAAATCTTTGTTCTCGACAAAAGTGCCATATATTACCCTAGCCTCTCTTTTTTCTTTATATCACCCGACACCGATCCTTTTCCCTCCGACGATGTTCTTCCTGCAATCGTACAAATACCATGTCATAACAGGACTTTACGGCGAACGATCAAGAGGTTGACGATGAACCACTTGAAGAAGACCTCGCTTTTTGCCTTCCCCGCGACCACGTCCCTCACGCTTATCTCGATCTGTCAAGTACAGACATGGCTAGCATGGACGAACATCTTCCGGAAACAAATATAGGGTACAAGTTACTGATTAAGATGGGATGGAAAGCCGGTCAAGGGTTGGGAAGCTCTCAACAAGGTTGTTATGCTTGTCAAAGATGAGTTGCGGTATTTGAATTCATCAAATGCATGCTAATGCTGGCGATTGGATTTCTGCTACTTTTTCAGGAAGAAGAGAACCAATTCGTATCGACACAAAATCGGATAGTTTGGGTGTTGGAAAACTTGAAGAGGAAAATTATTATCATGCGACGAGTACCG